CACCCCCGAGACTGCTTTCCCATTGTACGTGGCACCCCAGTCGGTGGTGGAGGCATCCGTGTGTACCACAGCATGCCTGGAGACCTGTTGTAGGGGCACTCCTGCCTAGAGAAACGTACGGTCTGACCACAGGCTGAATGTTTGGTGGCAGACCGGTGTGACTTGAGACTGTGCTAGTATAAGCTAGTCGTCGAGATAGTTGAGAATGCAAACTCCTTGCTCTCTCAGGGGAACAAGAGCCCCCTCCGCAACTTTCGTGAAGACACGGGGAGACAGGGACAGCCCGAAGGGCAGGACCTTGTACTGATATGCAGGTCCTTCGAACGCAAACCGCAGAAATGGTCTGTGGTGCAGAAGGATCAAGACATTAAAGTATGTGTCCTTCAGGTCGATCACTGCAAACCAATCTTGGTGACGGATGTATCCGAAGATACATTTCTGTGTCAGCATCTTGAACGATAGTCTGTGAAGGGCCCGGTTCAAGACACACAGGTCCAAGATTGGCTTTTTTGGGTACAATGAAGTAGGGGCTGTAAAACCCCGTCTTCATATCAGCTGGAGCAGTGTCCTTCACCAGTAGGACTGCGATCTCTGCACGCAATACGTGAGAATCGGCTGCCTTCACTGATTTGAAGTGGATGCAGCTGAATTTAGGGGGACTCTGGCTCAAATGGTACAGCGATACATTTGCAATGTAGATATTAGTCATGTGAAATGAGCAAATGCATTTTTCTCTCACATTTGCATTTGTTAACACTTTCAGTTTGATGCGCGGAGAAAAAGGAGGACAGCATACAACCGCTGAGGACGGAAACTATAGCAATGCAGAGCTGTCAGTCAACCCCCGTGGCCCGGCCCTGTACAATGCGGCGTCACACTGCATGAGAATCAAAACGGCAGGCCTAGTGAGGCTGACTTGGTTTAAAGGGGATTAAAAAATGAGCAGTGGCTGGATTTTTATCATTGTAGGGTGGTTGTGTTCACACACTGCCAACACACATTTATGTCCAAACACCATGTAAAAGTGGATTTTGCATAATAGGTGCCCTTAAAATACTGAGGGTGCTTTAGAAAGTGTGCTCAATAGCCTCAATTCACATACATTTTCACTTATATTTTTGTCCCGTCCATTGCTCTTTCGAGTCTGAATCCCGCATATATATGCGGATGTCATTCACGAAACTTTGCAGCATGTATTTGGCAGAAAAATAAAAGTTCTATACAAATTCTTAATGGATTATAGGCTATATAGAAAGGACACAAAGAGCACTGCCTTAATTGTCACTAAAAAGCTGCCCCTCGTCACCATCGCGATCTCAAGTTTTGTTATAATGAGAGGATTCGCGAGCTTTCACAAGACTAAGCACTGGACAAAAATAAACCTTTTGATTTTCTCCAGAGCGCAAACACAAGTATGCACTGGATAGATTGCCAGATCAGTTTCAGCAAAATGATAGTGAATAAATAATATCTCTAGTTTTTAAGATCCCGAGCACCCATGGGATCGGCACCTATGTTCACAGCATCCAAACATCAAATTAGAAATGGCTGAAATGATTTGAAATCACTTGTACCCTACCTGATCGAAAAAAAAAATCCAGTCTTTCACTCTGCCTGTGTCAGTTTGAGTCTTGCTAATGATTTGAATCCTTGCCGCCAAGATGCTCCTCCATTGGTCACGGATCATGGAAAGTGAAACTTAAATCTGTCATAGGGGTGGTTGGATTTATTCACGCACGTTAAAAATATTTATTAAAAGCTTCTTTCTTTTCAGATTGTTATTGGCAACATTATCATAATAGGCTGTATATTAACTTATTGGCAGAAAACCGGTTGTTCTATGTGAAATCAGACATTGAGCACCCCCATATAGCCAAAATGGCATGATCATAACACCTCTGAGAATATTCGACTGTGAGATTGGTAGTCAAATCAGGCTCCTCCTATCGAAGCATCCAATCTTCGACTATTTGGGGTCACCCCTAGATTCTAGTTATGCTGTTGTACCTACCAACAGGTTCTTAGGTTAAACACAGTATTTAGCCTTTTTGGTCAGTCAGCATCACCAGACATACCATGTTAGCATCACCAGCATAACCCAGCTAATGGAAATTGCTGTTGGTCTGAGATGATCTATTTAACAGTTAAAAAAAAATAAAAATAGCTTATCGGTACTGGCTCTGGTTTGAAGTGTACCAGTATGAGATACTGTATGTGACATTTGAATGTGTTCACCAAATATCTTCACAAGGTGCAACATACAGTTAACTAACTGTAGGTAACTATTATGTATAATGTGAATTCTTCTCAAACAATACCTTTGGTCTCAAATTTCTACACTCAAAAGATGTCAGAGGGGTACAATCTTTATTTTTTTTGAAAACCATTTCCATTGCCATTCCATGTTTTTAAATAACCAATTTGCAATAATAATACCCAGTTAAACCCAGCACAGCCTTCCCGATACTGCTTAAAAATTGCTTGTATATTGATTGTTTCATATTGTTTGAGTCCCTCTTTCCTCAATGTCCTGCATGCTATAAAAGAATCATTATGCTATTTTCTTTTGCCACTTCCTTTTCTCTCTGTCCTGAGGCATTTTTAAAAGACAATCATAACTCAACATATACTGTTTATATATATAACTTCATTTTCAATAACATATTGAGCTGTTGATATTGCTATTGATATGTCATCTATGGTGACCAGGAGGGGACATGTTCGGTTCATCCTTATGTCGTAGCCATGCGATGTTAAGTCGTGGCCTTGAGATGCTATGTTGAGGGAACAACATCCATTTTTAGTGGCCACGACTTTTTATGTTGAGGAAACAAGTTTAATGCGTAAACAAACCTGCATGACCATAAAACCCGGGATTATTAGAAATGGATAAAACATTTGTTTATTAACATTGAACATTTAATTTAATATTTGTTTATTATTATTATTATTATTATTATTATTATTGTTATTACTACTATATTAACTTGTTAAGGCTATATTTTTATATTTTGTTGTTATATATGCTTATTTCCCCTTTCAAGTTGTGTATCGCTTTACATCATTAATGTTCTGTATAATTATGCTAGTATTTGCTACCATATATTTTGCAAATACTAAACACCTGGCAATTATGCCAATAAAGTTTTGACTTTATGATTGTATTTATGCCCGTGTGTGATGACAAATGAGCATGTTGTGTTTTCATTTACAAATGAAACTACGTGAATGATTCATTCCTCAACAAAACACTATAGTATTTATAATTATAGTCTAATAATTAGCCGAAATAAAATGAAATATATATATATTAAATTCAACCTTTAAACTGCATTCCAGTAAAAATTCCGGTCAGCATAATCAAAGCTTTATTAGCATGTCAAGCATTTACAGTAGGCTATTATTTACAGAACTATTCATAACGTTAAGTAAAGAGATCAAAATAAAGGGAAAAAAAACAAATATAAAAATATAATCAATAATATAAGCTAATAATAATAATAATAATAAAATACAAATATTACTGGAAAAAGACTTACAAGAGTGTGGGATGGATAAAAATGTTTTCTTGTAGGCCTATTTTATTTTATGTACTTTAACATTTATTCATGTTAAACCTTGTTCGAATGCTGTCTACATCGCGCGCAATACAGTCCAGTAGCCAAGGCCTATGTTTAATATAATAATTGAATAATGTAATAATTTCTATAATAATTAATATAATAATTTCTTAATTCAAAATAAAATATTAATAAATCCATCTCTGATAATCTCGGGTTGCTATGGTCACGCAGGTTTTACGCATTAACCTCGTGGCCACGAGAAAATTATGTTGTTCCCTAAACATAGCATCTCGAGGCCATGACTTCACTTCGCGTGGCGACAACATAAGGATGTTGTTTCCACTACAAAATGATCTCGTGCCCATGACATACAGTATTATCACATTCCCACAAGTTAATATGACATTTCCACAAATTAATATCTTGTGGCCATGACATATTATCACATTCCCATGAGTTAATATGTCGTGGCCACGACAAAACTAAGTGAACCGAACATGTCCCCTCCCCTGTCACCATAGTCATCCACAGGCAGCATCCTAAAAGGAGTGGACCTTTATAAGTGACTGATATGAAACCTTCTATATCGGTGTACACCAGACAAACAGCACTTCTCATGTGAAGCACATGAGTCTTGATCTACAGTTAGTTTTTAACTGAGTTTGATGTTAGCATTCTGCTAAGCTAACAGCATAATACAGGCAAACCATATAGCCTATAGCACAATCAAATATTTGGCAAGATTTAATTTAATTATGATGATTTTCCCCCCTTCATTTTTAAAGAAAGAAATGTTAATATTTAAAATCATAATTTCTTGACTCATGAAGGCTAAATGCAATGTTGCCTTGAATTAGTCTAAAATGACGTATCTTATCCAGAAGTATGATCCCTTAAAATACTAGTAGACAGCTCCCTAGACAGTTTAAACCCAATTAAACCCTACTTTGTTGATTTATTTACAGTAGATCTGAAACACAACATTTCAGGGACAAATTATATTATCTTATTGTTTTAAAAAGTGATGCATGACATATCTTTTTTTCATGGTAGCACATTATTTTTAGTGGTAGCAAGTCCAATTCTCACTATTAACTAGTTTATTAGCATGCATGTTAGTAGCATATCAGCTGTTTATTAGTACTTATAAAGCATATTTAATGCCTTATTCTGCATGACCATGTTCTAGATCTCTTAACCCGATCCCATATCTAAACTTAACTTACTGTATGAGTTTATTAAGGGAAAACTCTTAGTTAATAGTCAATATGTGTTCCCTATTCTAAAGATATACTTTTTTTTATTTCAAACAATATAGATTATTTACCAATGTAATATATAATAGATAAATGAGCAATATCACACAGTAGCCATGTGATTTGGCCTGTTTCATAAAGAAGCATGATTTCTTTGTATTTTGTTTCTGTGTGAGTTTAGGAGATCAGTGATACTGAGATTATGGAGCTGGCCCACAGTTCCTTGGGAAGGATGACCGTCGTCAGGCAGATTTTCCCTCTTTGGAAGGATAGCAGTGTGAGCTGTATGAGGAACAACCACCGTATCTCCTCACTGCTCTGCGACCCTCAGGAGGGCTATCTGCAGTCGCTGGAGGTCAGTAACCATAGAAACAACATCATCATCAGGTTGCTGATGCATTATAGGAGATCAAATCCATATGCAGTCTCAAACCAACCTCTTAAAACAAGCAAAGTTAAGATCAGGGATTTTCAACCTTTAAAGACATGGGGACACAGACTCTTTGCTAAAACAGTGTTTTTTTTTTTTACCTTTTATTGCTAATTTATTCATTTTTAACTTGCCCTTATGCGGGGTTTCATCGTTTTAGTTTTAGTTAAAAGTGTTTTATAATGTGTAGAGTTTCTTTTTTGTTTTGTTTGTTTGTTTTTTCACAATAGTTTGTTTTTATGCATTCTCTGAGATGAATATGAGATTGAGATTGAAAGAGGTCTCTTATGATCACCAAGGCTGCATTTATTCAATAAAACTACAGTAAAAAAATTTAAAATTGTGAAATTATTTCTGTAATGGCAAAGCTGGTATTTCAGCAGGTATTACCATGGGTGTAGCTTGGGACTGAAAGATTTTACTAAATATTATATGTGTGTGTGTGTGTATGTAACAACGGAAACATAGATTTCATTTTCATTTGCAATAACCTTTTATTATACAATTAACCACAAACCCAGTTATTGTGTCCAAGTGTTTTCCTCCTCTGCTGTGACGTCCACATATCTGCTTGAACCCCTTGAACCCACATGAACACTAGTTTCATAGTACGGAACAGATGGCTGAGCTTTGCACTGCACTGCACATACTCTGGGGGCTTACACCTCAATTATTCATGAAAATGAGGGTTAAATGTTCTTTGATGTTTAATCACCTTGACAAGCAAAGCACTAGTTCACAGCAGTGACAAACCTGTCAGCTTTTCGTCTGCAAATCTGCACTGTCAACACAAGCATCCACCTTTGTGTTCCTTTCCCTGTCACTCAAGAAACAAGCAATCACTGGAGTCATCCACACAGCTTTTGCTAATGCCTCCAACGTGCCTTAGCTGATGGTCAGTTCCAGCAAAGTGTGACAAATGTCTTCCTGTATGGACCTGTCAGCTCAACTAGCGTGCCTGTCATTCAATGATCAGGAAGCTGTTGTCTGTACAGTAGGGACAGGTACTATGTTTTATACATCAGCTGGAATGATAACTGACACCTAGCAGGTTGTAACACTCAGCAAATGTCATACTTGGATGAGAAATGGCCATGAAAGTTTGATTTAAATCCGGTGGGTCATGGACAGATGACACTTCCTGATGCACATTCAGCAGAAAGTGTGCTGGAGTGAGAATGCATCGTTGAAGCGTACAGCTCATAACTTGAATTACATTTTGAAGGTCATTTCTTGGAAAAAAATTAAAAAATATACAAAAAGTGTTTTTTAATAAAAATAATATTAAACATAATAAAATTGTAAAAATATAAATTAGTACTAATAATAATAATAATAAGAATAATAGTTTTGGTAAGTAATCTGGCCTATAAGACCCATTAAGGTTAACAAAAGAACCACCTTAAGGGTCAGAAATTCATCCAATGCCAGCCCCAAGCATAAAATGAGAGACCAAAGAGCAGTGGACAGCCCTAAAACTGGTTCCTGTATCCTTTGTCCACGGTCCGAAGATCCCAGGGTGACACATTTGGCAGAAGCCACTACATAGCCAAATGGTTGGAAATGGGTGTTAAATTAATAGGGGTTTAAAATTCTCCTTTCGGCACACTGAAATGTCTCAACAGCAGGGAGAGGCTTAACACTGGAAGCAAGGGAACTGTTATATAGTAGGTGCCCAGCCATTCTATGGGGGGCAGCTTCTATAACAACCTCTTGTGTCCTAACACCCTCGGACAAAGGGACAGGTACTGCACTCTGAAAGCCCTTTTGCGTGCAGTAGCAGCAAAACATCAGGTAGGAACTGACGCCTCCCTGAAACACCTTTTGCGGGTTTAGCTAAACAGCCCCTTGAGGACATCAAGGAAATATGTGTGAGCATCTCTGAGAATCCCACAGTTTTCTTTGTGGGAGCCTGCCCTCATGTTCCTGAGCACCAAAGCATCAGGACCTGTCTTGCCTAGTCGACTCTGGTTATGACACTAAGCTTTTGCTGGTGGCTGTACACGTGCTTCAGACCCTCGTCGCACCCATAGTTTCAGATACTGATCGCCTAGTGAACTTACGTAAGGGAACTGTAAGTATTTTAGATTTACTACTAGTTATTGCACAAATATGTATGAATGAGCATCAGAACAGAGGGTATGGTGAAGGAAACAATACCACTTACTGAAATGTATTATGTCACTTATAATTTGTTTCAACCGTGGAAAGATGTCAATAAATCAGTTTGTAAACATATGCCATGTAATGTAACATTTACCTCATTAAAAACATAATTCTATCAATAAAGAGTTGATATAAAGACACATGCAATGCAAACGCACTTTTATTTGTGTTGATTATTAAAAATTGTGATTAAATAATTATTAAATACTTTATTGGTAACACTTAAGAATAGGGAACACTTATTCACTATTAACTACAACTTTTCCCTCAATAAATTCCTAATTTGCTGCTTATTAATAGTTAGTAAGGTAGTTGTTAAGTTTAGGTATTGGGTAGGATTAGGAATGTAGAATAAGGTCATGTAGAATAAGGCATTAATATGTGCTTAATTAGTACTAATAAATGGCTAATATTTTAGTAAAATGCTTGCTAATAAGCAACTAGTTAAGAGACCCTAAAATACAGTGTTACCACTTTATTTAATTTCATATAGTTTCAGCTAAATTAAAGCATCATTTTGTTTTTTTGTAAAAACAATTTTAATGCATCACTATTTTTTTTTCCTTTTGATTTCAGGTGTCCAATTTGTATCTTTATGACAGCGTATTGATGCTGGCCAATGCATTCTACCGGAAATTAGAAGATCGGAAGTGGCACAGTATGGCCAGCCTCAACTGCATCAGGAAGTCAACCAAGCCCTGGAACGGAGGCTGGTCCATGCTGGAGACGATCCAAAAGGTATGATGTGTTTGATGTTAGGAATTTTTCAGTGCTGCATGTCACACTGTTGGGGGGATATCACATCTAGCACGCAAGACTAGAAGTGGCAAGATGGAGAGTAGTTGAATAAAAGCAACTGTGACAAGATGATAGTTTCCTTTGCTTTACATCAGGTCCCAGACATATGGCTTTTTGAAATGCAAATTGCTTTCATTAGGTTGTTTCCTGTCTTCCCCTCTCACGGCTGCAATCACATTTCTCTTGAACACCAGCACAGCGGTCAAGCTGAGATAGCTGTTGGTTGCCCTCACACAGAGCTCTCTTAGGGGCCACTGAAAGCACCTGGGTTCGATTGACGTCAGAGTTCGGTATGTTTGGATGATGTGAACGCTGTCTTCCAAACTCGGGTGCGCACGCGCGAACTGTACCCGAGTCCGCTTAAAAAGGGTGGTCTGGGGTACGGTTCAAGTCAACTCCGGTACGGTTCGCTGCTGATGTGAACGCAATCGTACCAAATCACGGAAGTGAACCGCTATTAATGACGTATTATTTGATAAAAATGTGTGTTTGTGTGTGTTTCACTCACTTTCTTGACAAGCGTGACTGACGTGCTGCAAGCAGAGAGCTGTATATCTCATTTCTATTCACCTTCAGAGTACTTTAGAGCATTTGCAGTACATTCGTAAGGCAGACGTAAGTGCCGTTATATACTGAAGCTTTGGAAACAAACCAACGGTTCAAAAACATAATTATAAAATTGAAGAGAGCCTTGCTACGCATTTTGCCGTCTTCTCCTGCGCCATCGTTACTAAGCAACGGGGTAAACAGCTGCTGGCTTGATGACGCAAACGAACCGCGGTTCGGACCCAAATAATATAATGTGAACACTGTCCAGCGGGGGCAGGGGGAGGGGGGAGCAATCAAACTCGGGTTCGGACCAAGCAATCGAACCAAGTGTGAAAGCACCCTAAGTGTTGAGCGACTCACACCACTCTAGACTGGTAAAGAAAACACGGTAACATTTTAGTATAGGGACCAATTTTCTAGTTGCTTATTAGCATGCTTATTATTAACATATTGGCTGTTTGTTAGTACTTTTAAAGCACATATTGTCACGGTGCACACACACGCGAGGGACGAGGAGACGCTGGAGAATATGTTGACAAGACTTTATTTGCACCAAGGGAGACGAACACAGGAAGACGTACATATTCTGTATGGCCATAATCTACATCCTTAATCCTACACAATACCTAAATTTAACAACTATTAATAAGCAGCAAATTAGGAGTTTATTGAGGCAAAATTCATAGTTTGTTAATGCCGAAAATTGGACCTTAAAATAAAGTGTGACCAAAAACATTAAGATTCCTTTCCCAGATAAATTAGCTTCAGATAACTTTTATTAAAAAGGTTAATAAACCAAAATATATGGGTTTAACAGTGTTGTTTAAGAAGTATTTATGTCGTTTTTTTTTTTTTTGTAAAGTTTTAATTGCCATTTGCTGCAAAGGCAGTATTTTTAGGTTTTCATCTTTTTTTTTTCTTTTCTTTTCAGCTTTATTTGAATTAACATTTTTAATAGCTTTTGTTAACAATATTAACACCGTTTTATAAGTTGCAATAAAACCTGCTTGATACGTACCTATTTGTCGACCTATTTATTTGCTGATTAATCCATGCCAATCAGGACTTCATGATTATATTTAATTTTGCATACAGTTGATGATTATTTCACTTAATATTGTAATCACAATTATTAATTTGGATTAATAGAATCTACACAAAATGCAAATATGTTTTGTTTATCACTTTGTGTAAAAATTCATGGTTGGTGAACTCTGACCTTTGAATTTCTATGATGAGAAGACATGTGGCCAATGGAAGATTAATATGTCACAAGGTCACCTCTTTACTGAATTTAAATGTTAATGTAAATGTTTATTAATTTGTTAAATGAATGAATGAATGAATTAATTAATTAATTAATTAATTGTAGGGTATCAGACCGAATCAGACAATTTAAGATTCGATCAAGAACATGGTTGAAACACGAGGAGCCGAATTCCACAGAAAGGCCCAAGACACAGGATGTTCGTAAATCAGATCCTGGCACCACAAGCCTGATGCAAGTCCACCAACTAGCAGCTTTGAGTAGCTCACAGCATTTAAACAAAAGAACACTTATTGACAATTCCAAGGAGATTGTCAATTTTGGGGCAAGTAGGCAAGATTAATGGTCAAAGAGATGCACAGCATGACCATCACATGTAAACCAGTGATAGTAATCACGATCACGAGCTCTTTGGATTGACTTTCCCTCCCCACCTAGAAGACAAAGAACAGACTGAAATTTCTTATGAGAGACCTCTTAACCTCTGGTCTTCACAGAACATGTCCTTTTGTTCAGAGAAATGGCATAGAAACGATCTTTTACAGATGTAGATGCACCAAAATGAACTCAAAAAGGCTTATGAACTAATATCAGTCCATTGCGTAACTCCATATCATGTATCTAACCCACACATTAGACTATCATGTTTTAATCACGTATTGTGTATGTCTTTTTAATAACTATTGAATAACTTCATATTCATGTTTAGTATGTGTGTGTTTGAATCTTCTTGCTTGAAACGTTTCTTCCAATCAATTCTTTGTCAAATGTATCATATTCTTGTTATAGAAATCAT